AAGGCATTAAGGTTTTCAGGTAAGTCCCCCTTCTCTCGCTGTTCTTATTCTTTATTCCATAGGTAATCATGGTTGTATGGCAGCGAAGCATCAGTTCATATGGCTGATGTACTGCTGTTGATGATGATGATGAGACCGTTCAATAAAGGCCAGTCGATCTATGAAAAGTTGTTCAGCAGATAGTCAAAATGTTTCCGCCAGAGCTGCATTATGTATGCAGTCTGGGTTTAGGCAGCTTCCGAACTACCATCCATTAGCGGCCTCAGCGGCTCCAACCTCGGTCCATACACCGCCGTCAAGGGGTCAAAGAATTCTTTGTGTTGGCGGCGTTCGGTGTAGCATTCCATCTGCTACGCCTTCTTCGTCCACCATGCATTTTCAATGCGACGGAGCTCTCGGGTCAGTCACCGACGAATTCTGCCAAAGTTTCTCTTCTACCCCAAGTCACCGGGGTCTGCCACATGTGCAGCAAATGCTGCATTCGTCCCAGCTAACAATACGCCACTCGTCGCATTGTTGTCATCAAACCAATCAGGCCGATTGCAGTTTGCGCGCCTGATGGTCTTCTCGGCAGCAGCTGTCACCTAGTCGCGAATGTGGTGTCACAGGTCACCCCCTGTGGCCATGCATTCCACATCCCACATATATATATATATATGTATGTATATATATATATATATGTATATATATATATAAAGGCCACCACTCAACGGCCGACAAGTGGGCGCCTTGGACAGGTGGGCGCCATGGACAGGTTCACGCATAGGGACATTACTCACAGGAGAAAACGTTGGGGATGTGTTTGGCTGGTCGCCATAGACAGGTAGTCGCCGTAGCAGGTTGGACTGTATAGTGTCGGGAACACCGGATGAGTAATGCAGAGGTCCAGCAGTTAATTTTTGGCAAAATACCATTTGGTGCCTACTCGAGCACTTGGTAAAGCTCAAGTATCTACGTATGCTAGGCAATGCCCTCCGTATGCTCGATGACCGGCTGCCTCAGTGTATAGTACAAGCCGTGGCTGTATTTAACCGGAAGAAACCGCGAGATCGATAGTCGATGACCTGGCATAAAGGCATGAAAACTTGTGTGAGTGAGTTTGTCAGGCTAATGCGTGCCGCCATCGCGCAAGATGGCTTCGAGATGGTCCACACAGGTGGTTGGAGAATATCAGACGGGATAAAGTCGCGCAGTCAGTGGAGTTCCTGCATTAGCTTTCGTGCAATTAGCAGCTAATTTTCAATCTATCCACATTAGTTTAACGCACTTCTTTCTTGGTTCCACCTTATGTTTCCAGCAGCGCTTTTCATACCGTTGTTATCTATTGTAGTTCTGGATTCACTGCACATCGGTGCATGATGATAGTTATTAAACTGAACTGAATCCAAATTAACACACCACGAAGTGAAAAGATCAGTTCCCAAGCAATTCACAAAGAAAAATATATCAATCGAATGCGTGTGGAATAAAAATACCTACGCGTCCCATAGGCCCTTCATTTCCGAGAACAGTCTAATAACAAAAGTTAGAAATAAGAATTAAGGAAATAAAAGAAATAAGTTTAGAAAAATCGGGGATCTTATAGAATGACGAAGATTAACAAAGGAACTTCACGAGTGGGTATGTGGACCGTCATACTGACGGCGACATTCTAATGAAAATGCGAAGAGCTAAGGGTACAAACACGAACAATACAATATAGAAAAGTATACGCAACAGTGCCCTAGTCAACACTGCTGCAACATTTCATCGTGGAATCACACGAAGAGCATGTCGCAAAAACGCAAGTTATCTGGGATAGACGGTTACAGAAATTCTTCAAATATATGGCAGTTCTCCAGGTGGTTGCGAGGAGAAAAGTGAAAAGGCTCCAGACAGCCTTTAACTCAGTGAAAGGCTGGTACATTACCTTTACAACGGGTGGGCACTGGTTTAGTTATGATACGGTCCCGACTGACCGGAACTGCTCCATAATAGTCCTGATCTTTAAGGGGTACTCACAAGTAAAATGCGGCAATCAAAAAGGAATCGGTTTGATTCTTATCGCCTTCAAGTTACTTGCTCCTGTCGTTCTTCACAGACTGACTGACACCAGTGAAAGATTCGAAAACAACAGGCTGAGTTTAGTTGAAATCGAGGCTGCATTGATTATACTTTCACTCTATACCAATTTTTGAGGCACTACAAACATATTTGCCATCCACTGTAGTTGTGTTCCTCGAAGTCAACTGTGTGTACGATTTGGCGGATCGATGTGTCGTTTGGGACTGTTAGCTCAGGAAAGGTGTGCCGAGAAATAAGTAAGAATTAGCAGAGTGCTATACGTTCGGGCAGTGTGACGACATATGGTAAAAGGTGTATCCACCAGTACCTGCAGCGGTGTGAGAAGGAATACCCAATATCACCTTTCCTTCTAACTCCATAGCTGACGAAATCATGGAAACCGTTCCGTGGACACGATTTAGAATGTGGGGGGCTGTTACAAGATGAGCAACTTCTGGACTTGGGGTATGCCGACAGTATTTCTCTCATCTGCGACAGGATATAAACGTACTAAGTAGCACTGGTTGTCAGTCGCTTCGAGGTCTGCTTGGCACCTTCAAAAAATAAAGCTTTCTTCCAAGATTGACAGGAACCGCTCCTTGCGCTGACTCATGATGTGAAACAACTACGTCGTTCAGAAATTCATTTTACAGGACAGTTGTATCGGCGACTGTGAGAAGGAAGATGAGATGGCGAGGCGTATAGCAGAACCACGAGCTGATGTGCCAATCCCCACCACCTGTGACCCCAATGCGACCTCACTCTAGTCCTGAAAGACAGAATCTACGCAGTCGTCTGCTTAACCCCCCTATGCAGTCGTGAACCCTGATCTATCAAATCGACAGATGTAAAGATAATAGCTACGTTCGGTCACTAGGGCCTTCACAATTTGGCTCTTATCTGGCTGGAACGCCGCGTGAAGAATGATCGTGTTTAGAGTCCTGTTTAGCGCGTAGAAAGAGCAACTGAACGGCTCAGCATCACGATTTTAAACACTATGCTCCGAAGGCTAGACCATACGCAAAGCATATCAGCACACCGACTGCCGCGATATTCATTGCTTACGCGACCAAAGCCAGGACGTAAGGAAAAGTGTGGAGGCCAAATGATGATTTGGTCAAGTGAAATGACCTTCATTTTTTGGTTGGCCTTGACTGGAGCCTCTCAATTTCCTGGTTGAGGTCCGAAAGATGGCGACGTTTAGTCAAATACATCTATTGACATAGTGAAGAACCGGTCTCAATGACGTTTCTGTTGTGCCTCACTTCATTTGGCGTCCCCTTCAACCACGATCGTGACGCCAATGCACGAAATAAGACGAAACAGATAAGCATTTTGCTTCGTTTCGCTGTGGTTGCTGTTTTATCTTTTTCTCTTTTTTGCCGGAGCCTATTTGAATTGCACTGTGGCACAATAGCTGAAGTGTTTCTCACCCATAGCCGGTGTGCAAAATAAATGAATGACGAGCATTGCTGAATTATAGTTGCGCCAATGTAGCTATTAAATCCGACAGTCGCTTGCTTTGACACCCAGTGACAAGTGTGATCGCCTGTGTATCGGTCAATCATGCTGCCAGTGTGATTGTGTTAAAAATACCATTATCATTATACATGTTAGCTAGAGGTGGATAACATCTGAGCTATTTTGCCGCAATACATGGGAAAAGACTGCAACAGATGCATGCCAGCTGGGCTACCAGTAACGGATGGGAATAGTTCGGGAAAGCACCCTGTCGGCTATTATGCAACAAAAAATTATTGTGTAAAATTATATTATGCTACGAAATGAGATCGTGGTTGGAGGGAGAGGCTAAATGTGATGGGGAGGGACAAAGAAACTCACAGCAGGAACGCCAGTGAGGTCGGCTCCTAGCCAGGTCAGCAAGTGTATCTAGCCAAACATTTTCAGTCTTTCGGGCCATAACCAGGGAGCCGTGAAGCTCCAACATAGGCCAGCTCCGAAGGGAGGGCCTTCATTCCTCTCGACCAAGTCATCGTCTGGCTACCCCTCCTCTTCTTCCATCCACCTCCCCGATGGGCAAACAATGCACGTCGCGGGAGTCGGTGGGCTGGTATACGCAACACGTGGCCCAGCCATCGGAGCATGGTGCGTGAAATGATGGTGCTGAGCGGTTCATTTCCTTTTCCGGTGCCCTAAACAAGGCGTCGAACACGCCCGTTGCTCACGCGGTGTTCCCACCAGATGCGAGCCAAACTGCGAAGGTACCGGTGGTCGAACGTAACTAGCCTCATTGCCGGATGATCTAAGGAGCCAGGTTTCACAACCGTACAGTAGGTTCGGACGTACCGCTGCATTGTACACTACACTTGAGGGAGAGAGTGATGTCGAAAGATACGAAAAGCGCCTCGAGCTTTTGCTATACGGTACTTGATCTCATCTTTCATTGCAAGGGCGCTGATACAACTTCCAAAGTAGTTGAATTTTTGTTAAAAAGCATATGCATACACGTCAATGACGCACCATACTTATTTACATATCTAAACCTATTCGCTATTCATTCTATTACTTTCCCCGAGTGACCAAAAACCGTCAAATATGACCGCTGGCCGTCCATTTGTGGATAGTAGTTATCCGATGTGCTTCTCATTAATGAACAATAATCATAAAGTCCCGTGGGTAGTGATCGTCATAACTAGTTCCCCAACATATCCATTCCTGCTATGAATATAACAGCTTGAAACACCTCAAATTACTGTACGATTGGAAACATTGTCTTACTCTCTATGGCGCACACAAAAGGTGATGCACTACATAGACACTCTAAAAAAAGCGCAATAGTAGAATGCTATCCACTTCAGTGCTGAGAACCTGTGAGTTTAGTAGCCCAACTAATCAAGTGGAAATAAGAAGTTAAGGCGCAACGTACAGGTGGAGAAAAAACAGGGAGGCAACATCACGATAATATAAGCACAAAAAAGGAAAGCAACCCAACTCACCAGATCAGCCTTAGTGGGATCCATTAGGGATATTTGCAACAATAAGTTTGAAAGGCAAAATGTGAAGCATTCCGCCGGTGGAAGCTCTGCCGCTGTGAGATGTATTGATATGGACTTACTGAATGTGTCGTTGGAAACAAATTCAGGAGTGCAGCATTTGTGCAACTTCTTCTGCACAGTTAGGAGGTAGGGCAAGCACTTGTCCACAAACTAGGAAGGTAAAAATGGAGAAAACGAACTTTTAAATTAGATTCCACCAAGAATGTTCCCAAACCGAGGATAGCGCTTTGGCTGCGAGAATCCAGGCGAAAACCAGCATGAGGTTCCGGTTTTGGACACAAATCTAAGAACTTCTTTACCTAAAGAAGTAAAAGTCAATATAAGTGCAACTCACTTTCGTGAAATCGTTGCAGGAAAGAAGGGAACGAGCGAGACTTAAATAGATAGACCCACTAGCACAGCTATGGTCTATCGTCATCTTCACGTCAAATGACAAACATATCCAAAAATCAATAAACCATCATAGTGCACAGTAATAAGTAGACCAGCCCACCAGCGTGAAACCGTAACAACACCTGCATGTCACCGGAGCGTCGGATCCGCCAATTGCGAGAGTGGCTAATTTTTGACATGAAAAATGGGCCTGGAGGGACTTTGTGTTTTGGTACACCAGGCTAAATGGTGATGCTTTTATGACTGTATTTGAAGGCGATGTGTATAGGGCGCTTTGTGCCTAAGTATGTACAAAAAATTATAGTTGGTAGGATTTGTTACTTATACATTTCGCTTTCATACATCGCGATTTCAAAAAATACAAAAATACAATAGTCAGACGCGAGATATGTATACCCCTTATCCAAGCATGTAAGTTACTGCCAGCATAAACTTTACATACATGAAACCATTGTATTACCACTTATTTTCTCCATAAAACAGCCGTTTACACTACACTTTTATTTAGCATTTGCCTGCTTTCCATTATGCCGTGAACTTCAACTACGCCTGTAGTCATCACTTTAATTTATCAAAACCGTTTTCATGAAGCAAATCCATATAGCATTATTTTCTATTTCCCCCACCTTAATACCACCGAAATTAAGAATATACTCCGAAGCCACTCAAACAAACTTGGATGTTACCGTGGACAACGTAGCGAAACCCTTTCCCGCCATGACAAAATTTAGCCCTTCCCCCAATTGCGATCAATGACCTTTTGACAGCGTGCTTGCGGTACACAAGGTTGTTTGTTGATACCTGAAAAGTTTAGGCTTTTGGACGCATGTATATCTTGATTATTATATTAACGTCGTTGTTAATATGCTAAGAGATTGAATTATGTATCAATACACTGAACGGTTATAGTGCGTTACCGTGGTTAATCATTTTCCAGCTTCTAGCGAAAGCAGCCATGTTGGATGAATTCCGCGCATTTCGACGTATCTTCAAGGGTCCTAATCTGGACTTTTCAGCGATCAATGAGCATGTGAAATGTTTCAGATTTAAACGGTGACGTCGTTCATCCGTCGGACCGCTAAAATTGCGAAAGATTATCGAAGACTGGACAGGTGCTACCAGAAGGATGTCAGTACCGATATATTCATTTTGTGTGCTTGAAAAGCAAGTAGAGGAAAGTTTATGGAAAGCGATAAGTGTTGTTTTTCTGCCTGATGCAAATATTGTAATAGGTACCAGGGTTACAATTGCGGTTTTGAAGGGGGAATGTTACGAGGTTGAAAACGTTTGTCTTCACCATTCGCACAGCTTTCTCTTGGGGAACTCTTGGCTATATGCCAAAAATCGTCGGCTAACAGCGGAGCAAGAAAGCATGGTGCTTAACCTGATGAAGAAGTTTCGTCGGACGCAGGAGATGCATGCATTTGTGTGTCTTCAAGATAACATTCGTTTAACAAAGTGCGATTTGTATGACATACGGTGGCGTCATCGTTACACATGTGTCATGGAACTGGAGGAGGTTACGCAACTATTGCGAAGGAATGGCCAAGTGAAAATTATGCATTAAGGGGAATGAGATTCGTTAACTTTTTTCGTCCGCTCGCGCATGGTGGAATTTGGGGGCCACTAAGGGGATGTAATTCTGGCGGAATCCATATATCAGATCAAATACGGCGGTTACATCCTGTAGCTCTGCACGTTTGTGGATTCAGCGGCCTTGGTATGAGCTTCTTTTATGCTCGTTTGCCGGATGAGACGCAGGCTACTTACCAAAAGGCAGTAAGTATGCCGGAGTTGGCCCCCGCGGTTGACCGTGCTCGAACATTGGTCATGGACAAGTGCGCGTCGCAAGTGCATGCGTTTCACAATGCATATCCCACCGTCAACATAGTTCCCTGCTGGGTACACATTATGCTTGGCATGCAACGGCGTTGTTCTCACCTTCCCTTCTGTAACACGGAGGATAAAAGGGCTCTGTTCAACAGGATGCGATCGTTGTATACGTAAGGTTGCGCGCAGTAGCATCGACTTATGGTGAGTATATCGTTACTCCGCGCGGAATGCTTCCAGTATCTCAGACACACGTCGATCCCTTTGCAGGTTAGCTGGGCGGCGCATTCTCTGGGCCATGTGGTGTCAGTTGGGTGCGATAGCACCAATCGCTTTGAGAATGAGAATAAACATTTTAAAGCAAATTAAAGTGAGCGGCCTACTCTACTGCACCTGCTGCAAGTGATAGTGCAGTGGTACAGTAGCATTGTAGAGGAGAGTGAAGCTGTCCTTGCGAAAGGTCAGTTTGGTGTGTGCGAGGTTGAGCAGCGTATAAGTAGTGAGCAGTCGATTTTCAGGAAAATGTCGCCATTCGCCCGGCAACAGTACGTGCGTCAGAGTCTAAGAGTTGCATCCGCAGTGTTAGCCCGGACGGCGGATATTGGCTAATGCATGAGGAGTGGCAGGGTATGCGACGAGTGGTCATAGAGAATGGCAGCACATGCGGTTGTCGGTTTAATCGTCAGTGGCGCACTCCATGTGCGCGTACTGTGAAGGTTGCCTGCCTGCATGCATACGACGATGAGGTGGTTCTTCGTGGATGCCGTTTGGTGCTGCCAACGGAAAGCGTAGGAGAGGCGGACCTTTCGGCTGACAAGAAGGATACGGTGACTGCCTCGCAGCTGCCATCCCGTACTGCTGGGGTCATGGACTGCGCTGTAAAAATTCACATCGCTCGTGCTATGTTTGGTAACTTAGAGGCGCATTTGTTAGGTTTGGGTACGGCGGAGTTCACCCGCACAATGGGCGTTATGGTATGCTTTCGTGAGCTGCTGGTTAGTCTTAGTAATGTGGAAGTGTTTGCCCGATCGTCCAATGTCGAACAATTGCAACGGATATCCTGGCACTTGCTTCGGAACTTGAAATTGGCGAAAAATAACTCGAAATTCATCAAAGAGCTGCACAATAGGGTGCTTCAACACATGATGCATAACCGTCACTCATGTTTGAGCAAGCTCAGTCCCCAGAAGCAGAGTTGGTAATGCCCCACCAACGCAGACCAAAATGGATTTCAAGCCCCAAAGCAATATGCTAAATTTTATTAAATTTTCCCATACTCATTTCTTTATTAATAGTGCAAGGCTCCTCTAGCTCACGGATGTTGGAGACATAGCCTTATGAATATAGAAAATCGGCTCTAAGGGATAAAACTTGCGATGTTTAGCTAAGAAAGGTGTGTATTTTCCAGGCCGAAATGTGTCAACTGATCCGAAAGGTCTCCTGTATTACTCAGGTAGACCTGGCTTATGCGGCCTTGATATAAGCTTCAGAAACACTTAGAGGCTTAAAAAATACTAAACTCTGTCTTCCTAGTAGCTTATGTGGCTCAGTATCCAATGAAAATGGGGACCGTCCTATCCGCCACTGGCGCGATTTCGAAAGCGGGCTATTGTTCATCAGGACAACCTGTTTCTGCGTTCTCAAAAAGTAAGGGTTTTATTGGGTAAACTTCCTGCGCAACGTGTTTGTAAAGAGGTCAGTACCACCAAAAATCCAAAAACTGATCTGTACGTGCCTAATTGCAAAGTTGAATAAAAGTGGAAAAGTTGAAATATAACAGTAAGTAAGTTGTTGAAAAGGAAACGGAATATAAACAATGGTTTATGGAAGTGCGAGGTATGTATCGGAAAAAAGAAGAAAGTGGGATAATGTATGGTAAACTGTCCAAGACATAGGAGAATCCGCGTTGGACAGATGGCTTATTGAAGTGTGGATTGATTTTTAGTGGAGCTTACATATGGCTTTGTTAACCGTATAATCGACATGATGACTAGAATCCTTGCTAATGGATAGATAATGGAGTGTGTGTGTGTGTAAGCATGGGAAGTGCGGTGGAAAGCGATATATATATATGTTAATGTTTTTGTAAAGAAACAAAATGTTTATCTTTGACAACATAACAAATCTGAAACCTCGATATCGCATTTCACACTATATATATATATAATATATATAAATAGGTATATTTCTAGACCTGCTAGAGGCTGCACCCTAAAGGGTTCAGATCAATGCTTACATTTATCCGATGCTCTTGCATGGAAGTTGGCAAAATATATGTTCATCGTTAGCAATTGCAAATGCATTGGCACTGTTTAGTATACAGCTACTGGGTCGCAGGCGCCCACCTTGACATTTTTCTGGTTCCTTCGGGCGATATTGAGCTCCTTGTATTTTATTGTGAATACTTCGCGGAGGTGTAGTTTGCCTTTTCTCCTTGGAACAGAATCCAATTTGCCACAAGTTCACTTTAAATTGATCGCACAATAATTGGCCACTCAGTTGCCCCAATTGTTGTTGCGCACATGGAAGAAATGAATGAAGGAATTATAAGGCATACGAAAAGTAAAAACAATTCCGAAAAATGCAGACATAAATAGAAGCAATTTGTTAAGAGAGAAAATAAATCTGCGTGCTTCAGTAGAAAAATACCCATTAACAAAAAATATAGCCCTACTTTTATTACGCTGATATTGCTCTCCGGCGCAAAATTTCAACCTGAGTTATTCTCAGATAAAAGAAAAAGCCTTTCTAAAGTTAGAATACCGCTTAAAGTAGCACAAAATTACACTGGTCTGGACCAGCTTTAGCGCCTGAATACGACGAACGTAAAAGCAACACCATGCGTGCAGTAGTTTGCGAGTTATTCGCAATTAAACGATGGTCTACGAATAGGGCCATTTTTATTTTTCGCTAAAAATGGCTTTCTGCTTTGCAGGCAGATAGCAGAAAAAATAAAAGAAAATATAAAAGTAGGGAAGCGGTGTATGTTCTAGATAGGCATAGCTATCCAGAAATGCTCTAATTAGCTCGTTATACCCTGCGACAACTAAGGACTGCGCAGGTGGCCGAAAAGTAAACTTTGCAGGCAAGCATGAAAAATATATGCAATTAAGGGATGAGCTTGCGCGAAAACGCTAGAAATCCAGCAAGGAATATTATATCTACAAGGGAATTCAGTGGAGCTTGTAATTAACTCACGGTTAGAAGGCCACAGCATACCATTTTCAGGGGATACTGAGCCACATAAACAACCAGTAAAATAGAGTTTAGCATTTTTTAAGCCTCTAAGCTTTTCTAAAGCTTACAGCAAGGCCGCATGAGCCAGATCTACCTGAGTAACTCAGGGGATCTTTCAGATCCGTTGACAGATTTCGGCCTGCAAAATACACACATTACTTAGCTAAACATCACAAGATTTATCCCTTAGAGCCGATTTTCTATATTAATGAGGCTCTGTCTCTAACATCAGTGAGCTATAGGAGCCTGTCACTAATAATAAAGAAATGAGCATGGGAAAATTTAGTAAAATTTAGCTAATTGCATTTGGGCGTGAAATCCGTTTTGGTCTACATTGGTTGGGCTTTAACAACTCTACTTCTGGTGGTTGAGCTTGCTTATACTTGAGGTATTGTTATGCTTCATTTGTAGATGCACACTATTGTGCAGCTCTTTGATGAATTTCGATTTATTTCTCTCCATTTTTAAGTTCCGAAGATAGTGCCGGCGGTGTTCATCCAGATGGCAATGTTAACTGGCACTCTAATGTCACACCGACTATTTCTTTTGTGATTTTCCTGGCAAGAGCTGTTCTAGCACCCTAGGCAAAGAGCGATAAGGTAAATCAGGAGTAGAATAGTAACAAAAACCAGTGGGAGCTGGTCGTTCACCCGCCATTCCGCATAACGCATGGTGTAGCAGTCTGGAGATTCCCCGGTTTGCTTGTGTAAAATTCTAACCAAAATTCTATAATTGTACACTTAGGCAACCGGTGTGGTTTGTTGAACTGCTTGCTGAGTTCGAATGCTTTACTTGCTCATCGCCATTTTTGCTTGGCGCTCGCTTCGGTTGCAACGCGCGACTGCTCTGTGTGCTGTGCTTGATCCGTTCCCCTAGCTAGAGCGTCCACGGTGTCGTTCATTTATAGCTAGCTAACAGGGAATCTTTTGCTGAACCAATAAAAGTTTCCCTGCAACTCGATCCGTCTTCTGGAATCGCTCTCTGGGCTCCCGGAATAGGCAACCCTCTAAATTGGTGACCCCGAATCCGGATCAACCTCAGCGCCGGATATTTGGAACTTTTCTCCGGTGAGCTCGTTCCATTTATTTTTCATATTTTCCGGTTTTATTTTTGCATACGGTAGCCTATTTTTTCGCGTCATTTTTTCAAATCATGGAATCTGTAGACCATAAGGTAGAGTCTATGCTTAGTGTTGTATCTCTCTCAGTTCCACCTTTTTGGGACATGGATCCTGTTTTGTGGTTCGCTCATCTTGAGGCTGAGTTTTATAACCACAGAATCACTTCCGACTACGCGAAGTATTGCAAGCTCCTGTCCTATCTCCCCAAGGAGATATCAATGCAGGTTCGTGACGTCATCATTTCTCAGACCGAAAACCGCTATGAGGCTCTGAAGGAGGCCACGATTAAGCGTGTTATGCCCTCTGAGAAAGTTCGCCTGCAGCAGCTTTTCAGGGATCTGCAGCTGGGCGACAAACTGCCCTCAACCCTGCTACGGGAGATGCAGCAACTCCTTGGTTCATCAACCATGGATGAGACTTTACTTCGCGAACTATGGCTACAACGGCTACCGGAAAACACGCAAGCGATTCTCGCTACAGTGAGCTCCGTTTCGCTCACTCAACTAGCAGACTTAGCGGATCGAGTTATTGAACGAGCACAGCCACAAGCCAACGCCAGCAAGGTCCATGCCGTCGCGTCCCAGGGCACTTCTATCACTGGCTTACAGTCAACTATAGAAGCCCTGCAAGCACAAGTTGCGACACTTAGTCGCCAGGTCCAGCAGCTTACTATGGACCGTCGTCGTCATAGCCGATCAAAATCGCCCTGCAAACGTTCTAAGTCTAGCAACAGGCAAGCTAGCTGTTGGTACCACCAGCGTTTTGGTACCGCAGCTCGTAAATGCATCAAGCCTTGCAACTTCGCCGAGAAGCAGGGAAACTTCGCGGCCGGTCCGTAACGGCGACGGACGCGACTGGCCAACACCAAAGTCGCCTCATCCGCGTTAGGGATTTAACTTCCGGCACCGAGTTTCTAGTCGACACTGGTGCCGAAGTTAGCGTTATACCCCGTAGCTCAGATGAGGTCGTCTCACCATCGCCGACCAAGCTGCGTGCCGCCAATGGCACACCAATCGCAACTTTCGGCGAAAAGCTGCTAACGCTCAACTTAGGCCTCCGGCGAACCTTTCGCTGGCCTTTCATAATCGCTGCTGTGCCTTTCGCCATCATAGGCATAGACTTTCTTCAACGCTTCGACCTCATCGTCGACGCTAAAAGGAAGAAGCTTATCGACTCTAGGACACAGCTCAGTGTTATCGGGACCAGCGCCAACGTGGCTGCTATCACTCCCATTCGTGTCCTACCTCAAGCTTCACAGCCTTTTCTAGAACTTTTCAGCAAGCACCCTAAACTCGTTCGCGTCCTGAACGACTTGCCTCCTGTGACGTCAAACGTCATGCATCACATTTGCACTAAGGGCCCACCTGTTTCGGCCCGCCCTCGCCGACTAGCCCCGGACAAGCTCAAAGCTGCTAAGGCGGAATTCGAGCAAATGCTCGAACTGGGAATCATCCGCCCGTCCAAAAGTCCATGGGCATCACCATTACACATGGTGCCGAAGAAGTCCGGTGACTGGCGCCCTTGTGGTGACTACAGGGCACTTAACAAAGTTACCGTCCCGGATAAATACCCTATCCCGCACATGCACGACTTGACCTCAGCTCTAGCTGGCAAGTCTATCTTCAGCAAAGTCGACTTAGTTCGCGCCTACCACCAGATACCTGTCGCGCCAGACGACATTGCTAAAACAGCAGTCATCACGCCATTCGGCCTATTCGAGTACCTCAGAATGCCTTTCGGCCTCAGCAACGCTGCCCAAACTTTTCAGCGTTTCATTCATGAGGTAACGCGAGGACTCGAAGGCGTTTATCCTTATCTAGATGACATTCTTATCGCCAGCTCTTCTGATGAAGAACATCTTCGTCACCTCGACGCACTCTTCCAACGCTTAACGCAGCATGGGGTTACCGTCAACCCCGATAAATGCGAGCTTGGCCAAAGTTCCATCGACTTTCTTGGCCACCGCATATCTGCCTCTGGTATCGAAGCCCTGCCAGACAAAATCCAGGCACTGAAGGACTATCCTGCTCCCAGTTCCTTCAAGCAGTTACGCCGATTCCTTGGCCTGGTCAACTATTATCGACGCTTTATTCCTAACTGCGCGAGCATTGTTCAACCAATGACTGACTTGCTCCGCGGTAAACAACGCTCTTTTCACTTTCCAGACGACGCTAAATTGTCTTTCGAGAAGCTCAAAGACGCTATCTCCAACATAGCGCTTCTCGCCCATCCAGACACGTCTGCACCACTCTCCCTGACGACTGACGCATCAGACACTGCCGTCGGTGCAGTTCTTCAGCAACTCATCGACCATCGATGGATACCTCTAGGTTTCTTCTCAAAGCGCTTACAACCTGCCGAATCGCGATACAGCACCTTCGGTAGGGAACTGTTAGCTATCTACCTAGGTATCCGACATTTCCGTCACTACCTCGAAGGTCGACATTTCACCGTCTTCACCGACCACAAGCCATTGATCTACGCAATCAATGGCGCAACGGACAAGTACTCGCCGCGGGAAACTAGACACCTAGACTACGTTTCTCAGTTTACGACAGACGTACGTCATGTCTCAGGTGCTCTCAATCCCGTCGCGGATGCGCTTTCACGCATTCAGCAGATCAGCTTATCGCCTGGCACAAACATTGATCTAGCCGCCATGGCTGCTGCCCAACAAGCTGATCCCGACATAAGCAAGCCACGACGCAACACCACTGAGACGATCACCATTGATCGACTCAAGCCAGCATTCTTCGACAAGTCTGACTCGCCGGTGCAACAAGCACCTTCACAGCCTGTGCCATCACAGCTGGCACCGCAACCTCAGACGAGTCAGTCCGCTCCAGCAGAACCGACAACCACAACCGACAGCACTCCTACCCGCCCTACTCTCAATCGACGCGGTAGGAAACTCAAGCCTCCAGTTCGTTTTTCAGACTTTGTCAGCACTTACTATTTTACGTAGAACGTGCCTTAGAAATTTTCTGCTCTTACTAAACGTTTTTGAAAATCCACAAAAAAGACCAAAACGTTTTGAAACTACCAAAAAAGAGCAAAACCTTTTGAAAACCCAAAACAGCTTTGCACGTTTTTCGCTTTGCACTCTTTTGTGTATGGCTATGCATTTATGCTGCTTTTTCATTTTGCTTTCCATATACACCGTCGGTTGGTTGCCCCTCGGTTTCACTTTCCGCTGGATCTCCGCACGTCAACTGCAAGTGGAACGAACTTCCTGCTCAACTGCCTACGTGAACTTTATTAACTGTCCCCCCCACAAACAGTTTTTTTACCGTTTCGACACCGTAGGGAGGACACGGGTGGGAGCCCGCTAGGGTCCGATTGCATGGTTCTCCCCCAGCAGCTGCATCGGGTTTCACAACCTGGTCTCGCAGAAGGCTGGCCCGCGACGGACAGTCCTCACGTAGATCGAAGGACTGCTTACACAGTCCCTTCTGGGAGAGGGCTATGTAGCAGTCTGGAGATTCCCCGGTTTGCTTGTGTAAAATTCTAACCAAAATTCTATAATTGTACACTTAGGCAACCGGTGTGGTTTGTTGAACTGCTTGCTGAGTTCGAATGCTTTACTTGCTCATCGCCATTTTTGCTTGGCGCTCGCTTCGGTTGCAACGCGCGACTGCTCTGTGTGCTGTGCTTGATCCGTTCCCCTAGCTAGAGCGTCCACGGTGTCGTTCATTTATAGCTAGCTAACAGGGAATCTTTTGCTGAACCAATAAAAGTTTCCCTGCAACTCGATCTGTCTTCTGGAATCGCTCTCTGGGCTCCCGGAATAGGCAACCCTCTAAAATGGTAGGCTTTGGAGCCAGCTAAAAGATAAATGACACACGGGCGGCCAAGAGAAGAAAAGTGGTGATGGAAAGTTTCTGGTGCTCCAGCCAGCCAGTGTGACAGGGGCCTCTCTGTCATTGGTTAGCTTTCGTGCCAGTGAAATGAAATCTGAAAATGCGAGTGTTTTACGAGCAAAAGCAGTTAAAGAAGAGGATCTGATTTTCATTATGCCTGTCTACTAGTGTTGCCAATAGCGAAAGGCACATGTATACCAGATAAAGCTAAGTATATGGGGTCAAGAGAGAGTAAGTGGAGAGCAAAATGTCTGATTCTTGGGCCTAGAACTGTTAAAGTGCGCTCTTTGTCAACAATAAGAAAGATTACTTTTTTATTTTGCGGTTTAACTACTGATAGTGTTTGGAAACTGCTGAGTATAGTAACTAGCGCTCAGACTTAATGAAAAAGCTTCTATTAGGGCCCGCTGGCAACCGACATCTAGGAAGACACATAAAGGTTCATTTAAAGCCGGCATTTAGACGATTTTGGACAATTCTAATGCTACGCTTAGGTGCATCCGCAGCAGAAAACGTTTTCAACATTCTATGCAAGGCTTAGGTCTGGTAGCATGCCTTTACTAGGGGTACCATAGAGGTCATAAGCCTAATACTTTTTCCACGGATCCAGTGGTCAAGAAGTTGAAAAGTGATAAAAGTCTGAAGAGAAGGGATGAAGATGTAGATAAGAAATAAGGATTGAAGGAAGAGGTCGGTGAAGAATAAGATCATCTTGTATTCAGTTTGCTATTCTTAAACCCTGGAAAATGGGTGCGACGGATACCGTTAAAGTCTCTTAGGTGCTAGAACGGTAACCACAATGAATGTGGATGAGTTTTGAGCTGAAGGTGCTTAGATGTCTTGCACTACATCGTGGGCGTCCTCAAGCTATATCAGGGCCAGTTTCAAAGAAGTGGTCTTGCGAATCGCAGATATGGAAGATGCTTTGTAGATTGCCAAAACATAGGAATTTTTGTATCTCCTTCCTGAAGACCTGCAAATTTTGGATTTCTCTTATTCTGAGAGGCAACCGGTTCCATATGTTCACGTAGACAACTAAGAAGAAACGAGACCGCAGTCTCTTCTTTGCCTTTAGCGGAGTAATGGAATGGCCCCTGTTTCGGAGTCTCGATTCAGACGCGCTCCTTAGTTTAAGACAAGTGATATTACTGTGCAACTTTCTATGAATTAGCTTGTGTAAGAAGCACATGTTAAGGATAATGCGCCTTTGCCATAGGGGCTGAATTTTAAGGTGTTCACACCTTTGTCGGTAATTCAGCGCTTGCTGCGGTGGAGTCAACATCTTCGTAAAGCGTCGCTGAGCTTTCTCAAGCAGAACACGGTCCGACTTACGTAGATTGCTGCATATAAAGAGTAATATTCTAGATGTGGCCTGACGTGACTCTTATACAGTTCTAGCCTTGCATCGGCGGTTTCTATGCAACGGCGTATGTGGAACGATAATCCTCTTACCCTTGCGACTTGATAATGCACTTGCACTGCAAAGTTGAGGCTCATAGAGTAGCGCAAGCCCAGATCTGTTGTTATGATATTCTGTTTGATAGTGATACCGTTTATTGTTAGGGACCCAGCAGGTATAGAGAATCTGTGGGTCATGACGTTAGATTTTTGAGCGGAGAAGGTCATTTGCCAGTGTTCGCACCACTTTTCAAGTGCTTTAAGATCCTCACGGATACTATTAAGTGCGGAAAATTCATTACCACGGGGAAAGTCGTAGACAACTTTCACATCGTCAGCAAAGATAAAGGAGCGACCGTGTTGCAATATATATATATATATATATATATATATATACAGTCGATTCCGGTTAATAGGACCACCGGTTAATAGGACCAGCCGCTTATTCGAGCCAAATTCTGAAGAACCGAAACGAATCCTATTACGCTAGCCTAATTTTAGCCGCTTATTAGGACCGGAATTCCGCTTAATCGGACCAGACGATAGAAGGTGGCAGGTAACAGAGGTGTTAAAATCAAGTT